TATGGATTAGGGGTGCTGTGCGGTGCGTCTGGGGACGACAGACAGACCGACAGACCGAGGAGTCCGGATTAGGGGCGCTGCCGAGCGTCTGGGGACGGACGGACAGACCGACAGACCGAGGAGTCCGGATTAGGGGCGCTGCCGAGCGTCTGGGGACGGACGGACAGACCGACAGACCGAGGAGTCCGGATTAGGCAGCTCACCTGAGGAAAAGGGCACGAAGGCGTCGTTTTTCCGGAACCGCCCCGTCTCCTCCAGGAAGTTCTCGGGGTTGAAGCTTTCGGGGGTTTTGAACTTGCTGGGGTCACGCAGGACGGTGCTGAGCATGGGGTAGATCTCGGTGCCCTGGGAGCAGAGCGCCAGGCGGTCAGAACGAGACGAGCTGGGTGGGTGCCATTCTCTCCCCCTCCCCCCCGGGCATGCCCACCTCTCTGCCCCGCACACTGGGATCACGCGGGAACAGAGCCACTCAGCGGCAGGTCTCGGGTAACTGCCAATGGGCCCAGATCCCCAGATGGAGCCCATTTATACCCATTGAGAATCAGACCCGGACTCCCCCTGCGCCCCACCCGCTCACCCCTCACCTGGGGGATGGTGTAGCCTCTGAACTGGGTGTCCCGGGTCACAATGTGGGGCACGTCCATGGGGATCAGGTCGCTGACTCGCTGGACCTCGTGGATGACGGCGTCGGTGTAGGGCATCTGGCTCCGGTCCTCGATGGCCGGGACGCGGCTCTGGCCGATCACCCGGTCGATCTCCTCGTGCATCTTCCCTGCCAGCGACACCCACAGAGCTTACCCCCCGGCCCGGCGGATCCCGGGAGCCGCTCAGGAGTGGGGAGAGCGGGGACCTGTTGGCTAGGGTGAAATTCACTCCCAGCGCCTAGAGAGCAGAGCACCGGACTGGACACGGAAGACCCAGATTCTCTTTTCGGCTCTGCCGCCGACCTCAGGCCCCGTGCCTCAGTTTCCCCATAATGATACTGATCTCCACCTGCAAATCAGTCTGACTCGGGTCAGCGAACGCTCAGGACCTGGGTCCTTGGACCCTGCTGGGGGGCTGGGTCAGAGCCCCAGGCCCTCTGTAACTCAGGTCCAAGCCCTGTCATTGTGCAGTGCGGACGCAGCCCGTGTCAGGAGGTCTCCGTGGTGCAGTACGGACAGGTTAGCAGGGCTGGGAGACCCGGGTCAAGCAAACCCAGGCAGATGCTCAAAGACGGGCTTGGAAACGCCAAGCCCACAAGCCAAAGTCCCACAGATCTGGGCTTAGTGCTCAGTGGAGACATACCCTAAATACGGTGCATGGGCCTTTTGCAAATTTCACCCTGGTTTTGACCCGTGGAATTCAGTGAATGTTTATGAACTTTCCTTAGTTACCTAGGACCTCTGGGTGTTTCATCAGGAGCAGGAACCCGTATCGCAGGGTGGAGCTGACGGTCTCCGTGCCGGCGAAGAACAAGTTGAGCGTGGTCAGCTCCAAGTTCTTGGTGTTAAATTCGCTGGAAGGGTTTTCCTTTTCCTTGGGGAAAATCAACATACGCTGAAACCTCAGCATGGGGATTTCCACAGCCACAGGAGAGCTGGTCTTAAAAGTACAGATTTGCAAAACGATTCCTGTCTGAACTCTGCAAAATCACTTTGATGCTATTTTGGGGTGGGGGGGGATCCTGGTATTTGTTATGGGTGAAAATTGCATGACTCATGGGGCCCCTAGTGCTGTGTTTGCTCGAAGATCATCCGAGCCATTCACTCAGCTCCCAGAGCCCCCGTACCTTTTCCATTTGGATCAGGAAGCAGTCGATAAAATCCCGGGGGGAATTGGCATCCAGCGTTGCTTGGTTCTGCTTCACTCTCCTCTCAATAAATTTCCTCATGTCTTCCAGTATGTAGTAGATTTTCATGTGAGGGCCGGGGAAGTATTTAAGAAAATCCGCATACATGTCGTAGAACTGGAAAGAGAAGGGACACACAGAGAACGGCTTTTGGTGCATCCCCGGAGCCAGACTGTCAGTCACGCCGGTGTGAATCTGGAGTCAGGCCGGTGTGAATTTGGAGTCAGGCCGGTGTGAATCTGGAGTCCCTTCACTGAAGTCTATAGAATCACTCTGCATTTGCTCTGGTGGCGCAGAACACAGTTATCTGCAGTAACCCACATGCAGTGAAAATACCGACCGTTTCATTTCAAGCAAGACATACCTGTGACCACGGGGTGCTGATCTCTCTAAAGCTTTCGTTCATCATCTGCAGCAAGGACAGGAACTCTTTGTCTTCGTAGTCGAAGCGGTCGCCAAAGACGATGGAGCAGATGACGTTGGAGACGGCCCGGCTCAGGAAGAAGGTCGGGTCAAAAGGTTCCGCTGGCGTAGGGGGGAGAGAAGGGAAGGGGGTCGTGCGGTCATTGGGGGAAGAGGAGCCGCCAACATGCAGGGAGTTTAGGAGCGGATTCGGATGCTTCATAACAGTTCAAACAGGAATCGTTCCGGGGACTTCTCGGGCCGGTGTTGTGCCCGAGGTCAGACTAGATCTTTGGAGCGGTTCCGCCTCCCCTTGGAATCTGTGACTCCACACAGAGACGCCAGGGGAGGTACAGAGGTGTCCTGTCCTGTATGCTATGCTACACAACCTTTCAATCCAGATCTGTCTGCCCGAGTCGTTCCAGCCCGACATTGCTACGATGCCGTGGGGTGAGCGATCGAGTCCCGCCCCCCGCGCCGACTAACCCTAGCCCAGCCCTGACAGGGGGTTGTCCCACCTGTTCTTAAAAACCTGCGTGGCGGGGACCCCACAACCTCCTTCGCTCCCCTGCGAGTGAGAAAGTTTTCCCCAATATCTAACCTAGATCTCCTTGGCTGCAGATTAAGCCCATGACGTCTTCTCCGACCTTCAGTGGACACGGAGAGCAGCTGATCCCCGTCCTCTTTGTAACAGCCCTGAACAGATTTGAAGACTGTTCTTGGGTCCCCGCCTCCCCCACACCCCTCTGTCATCTTTTCTCAAGACTAAACATGCCCTGTGGTTGGTTTTTTTAACATCCCTCTGCGCATGGAGGAAACTCAAAGTGGGCGACGTTCATCCCTGCGCGGAGAGGCAGCCAGCAGCCCCGCTGCCGGGTAAATCCTCACACCAGCGCTTGAGCGGGACTTGGGTGGTGCCCGGCTGGAGCCGTCCCGGCGGGGTAGGGGGAGCGCCTCTCCGCTGAGTCACCTTTTGTATTTCGAAAGGACTCCAGCAGGAACTGGGCCTCCTCCTGGATCCGCTCCTCGATGCTTTTCTTCCCCATGCCGAAGTTCCGCAGGACGGTGAGGGAGAACCGGCGCAGCTGCCGCCACCGCTCCCCGTTGGCAAAAACCACCCCTGGGGGAGACGAAGGGTTTCAGCCCAGGAAGGAGAACGGCCGTTGAAAGGAGCGAGGGGCTGTGGCTCAGGCCGAGGGGCTGTGGCTCAGGGAAGGTCCCAGCTCTGGTCCAGTGGCACAAAATGCACCAACCCTGCTCTTCTGGGGGGTTCAATCGGGCTGGGGGGGGGGTTGCATTGGCTGGTTGGTGCAAAGCTTGCGGTGAATCTGGACACACAATGGCGTGATAGGACCATGCGTGTTTAAAAGGGCACCACCTCCTCCCCCACCCCCGTGAAACATGCAAAGCTACACACTCGGGGAGCGGGAACGCTTTAGCTTGGGGGGTCTTTGTTCTCCTGATCCCCCGAGCAGTCCTACAGCCTGTCAGCTTGGGATCACCTCAGCAAACGCTGGAAGTGGGCCAGATCCGGAGCTGGCATCATTCCACTGTCTGGATTTGGACCAGCCGGGGATCTGGTTTATGGCACCTCGCCTGCTCCTCACCAAAGCCGTGAAAGTTCTTCTCGACAGTCGGCATGTGGGCTCTCCCGCTAAACTCCTCGGCCTGGTCCACCAGCGCTTCCTTCACTGCCTCATGCCCGCACAGCACCACGATGGGCTTGGACCCGAAATAGACGGTGAACACCGGGCCGTACTTCTCACTCAGCTGTACGGGAAAGGTGATCAGAGGGGGGTAGGAAATGGGAACCGGTTCCACGGAAAAGGGCGACTTTTTGTCAAAAAAATGAAAAACAACCTTTTTGGGTTTGGGCAGCCAAAAATTCCACCCCACCCCCACCTCCACCCCCCCAAAAAATATCCTGCCAAAACCAGAAACAATTTAGGCTGAAAACAGAAACATTTTTGGCTTCAAATGGGATTTTTTTTTGGCTGAAACCTGAAAAAAGTTTGCCTTGAAAACTGCCAAAAATGGAAAAATTCTTGGCTTAAAATTGACAAACTAAAAAAAATTATATATTTTGGGCCAAAACCTTCTGGAAACCAAAAGATTTTTAATTTTCAGCTGAAATTATTTGTTTTCCTGACCCTCCCCACCCCCCCCACCCCCCGGCAATGTTCACACAAAGCCGACTTTTCCACAAACAATTATATGTGGTTGAAAACTCAACTTCCTGTTGGAAAATCTTGCCACGAAAATCTTTTTATTCCCCACCCCGTGATTATCCTTTATGATCTGTATTGCAGTGACACCTAAGACCCCGTCTCCTGGACCAGGATCCCACCGCGCCAGGCGCTGTACAAACACAGACAGTGCTATTCTTAGCAGTGAAAGGAGACGTCCATCGGCACCGGCTGTGTGATTGATTTCGTGGCTGCTGAAGCCTCGGAAACACAAACTGAGTTGTCGAGCGGGTAACACGGCAACTGATCAGCAGAGATCTACAGTCATCCCCGGCCAGGTGCTCTTTGAGAAATGGAGTCGTGGAGACGAGCATGTGGGGCCGAGATACAACTGATCTGAATACAGAGTGTATTCACAGCCAAGAGACAGAGAGAGACAGGCATAGCTGTGGGGATTTAGATAGAAAGACACAGAGAGAGCGCCTGGTATCTATGGTGGCTGGTATGTAACTAGACAGAGAGAGGGCTAGGGGAGTGATTGGCTAGTTAACTAGCTAGAGGGGTGAGCCTGGGGATAGCTACATAGATAGACAGACAGACAGATGGGGTGTATGGGGATTAGATAGATAGATAGACATGGGGATGGACAGAGTTAGATGGCAGGGTGTCTGGGGATGGGTAAACGCAGAGATGGGGTGTCTGGGGATGTGGGGGTGGGTAGACTGCAGAGATGGGGTGTCTGGGGATGTGTAGATGCAGAGATGGGGTGTCTGGGAATGTGGGGGTGGGTAGAC